GAGAGAGAGAGAGAGAGAGAGAGAGAGAGAGAGAGAGAGAGAGAGAGAGAGAGAGAGAGAGAGAGAGAGAGAGAGAGAGAGAGAGAGAGAGAGATGTGTGTGTGTGAACACATATGATAAAGGCCTCAGTACAGCATAGCTGCTTTCCCAGGAGATGCCAATGTGCAATGACTTGAAGATAGTTCTCACATAGCTCTTGAGCAGACAGAAGAACAGAATACACAGGCCAGCAGGCAACACAACAATTGAAACATAGCAGCAGGCGACGACTGAGCGAAGCACCAGTCAACCCGGCTGCACAATGCCAAAGCTACCTGCATGTCAGGACAGCGCAAGCAGACGGGCAGCAGGCAACACTGTCAAAGCGGCCAAACCATACAGCGCACAAGCAAAGGGAATGGGAAGAGCACTTATCGACACATTGGCATCCCGTGGAAGAGTGCAGCGAAGCACAAGGCAACACCAACAATGCAGCCGAACTACATGGCAAGCACAGAAGCTGCAAAGAACGACATGGAGATCAAGCAGGATGGCAGCAAGGCAGCAGTGGAGCATAAACAAGGCAGTCCATGCACATCCAACACGGAGCAAAGCAGTATATCACCTACACACACCGCAAGTGAACCCCACAGACTGTTGGTTCCCACCACCTGCTTAGCCAGGGGGTCACCCTGACGCACGTTCCTCATCACCAGTAGGAAAGAGAGACATCCCAAACTTGAGCGTCCCCTCTAATAGTGCTGCAGGCACTCCAAACGAGGAATGACCTACAATTTGGCACTGCTTAAAATAGAAAAACATACATAAAACTGATTGTGTGTGTGTGTGGGCGCAAGTGTTCGTTTCAGTTTTTCGTTTGCTCAGTTCCTCTCTGTCTTTTTGGTCTCTTTCTCCTCCTCAAAGGACCTCAAGAGATTAAATACACAGTTGCAATGACCTGCAGAATTTCAGCCTGATAAATACAAGTCACTTGCTGTGCTTTGCTCTACAATTCTGGTCTCAGAAATCTGCATGTTTATGAGTTTTTCTGAGTTCTGAGCATGGGTGTGTCCATGCGTGCAAGTCCGTGTAGTTTGGGGGTATTGACTGGTGTGCCAGTCCAAACGAGGGCCGTACCTGTGACCTCGGAGCTTTGAGGGTCAAGACTGACATTTAGTCCGGCAGATGTAAAGGCAAGTTCCAAGCGGCTGAATTTATAATTTAGACTGTACGCTTTGTAACTGGTCCGAGGGCCAGTAGTGATTTTCTATTATGTTCACTCTAGGACTGATGCACGAGACCCTGGTACACGATACTGGACGTATCAGGGCAGCTTAGAGGTACACGATAGGTCCAGGTCTGGGGGTTCTAGCAAACTGAGCTGTGAACATATCACTTTCCTGCTATCTTAGATCAGTGGTAGGCCAACAGAGGCTAGGTACTAAGGCCTGATGTGTGATAGATGAGAGAGAGAGAGAGAGAGAGAGAGAGAGAGAGAGAGAGAGAGAGAGAGAGAGAGAGAGAGAGAGAGAGAGAGGGAGAGAGAGAGAGACGGAACCAGCGGACGGACCAATGGACGGACTGACCGACAGACCGACCGATGGACAGACTGACAGACGTACGGACCGACGGAAGGACAGACCGACGGACGAATGGACCGACGGATGGATGGACGACGGACTGACGGACCGATGGACCTACAGAGCAACGGACCGTCCGGAGGACGGACGGACCGACTGATCGATGGACCGACAGGCAGGCAGGCGGGCAGACAGACAGACAGACAGACAGACAGACGGACAGAGCTGGAGGCCGCATATCTTTTCCTTGCCCTCATGGTGCTGCTAACATGGTGCTGGACCAGTGCTAGGAGTGGTGGTGGTGAGGAGAGCGGCTGAAGGAGGAGGTGGGAGCTGCTGGGTATTGTGGATGGCCTCCCTAGCTGTGGTGCGAGACTAGTTAGACAGAGATGAGCTTGGGGACTTGGTGCTGCGCTTCTTCAGTAGGAAATGGTTCTGCTTCTGCCTACCGTGGGGTTTGTTGGACAACACCACAACTGTTTTGGGGCTTGGATAGAGCAGGGGGATATGAGAGAGAGGTTGTTGGGAGAGAGAACTTCACTTACCTCTTGATTGGTGCTTCATCTCCATGGTTGGCAGTACAACGCTTTCATCTCAAGCCAGGCAAGCCTCCTGGTCAAAGATTGGGGTTAATTGGGGTTAATTGGGGTTAATTGGGGTTAATCAGTCTGGAACTGTACTTAGATGGAGGAGAGGAAGGAAGCTTGAGTAGTGGACTCCGAGGAGAAAGGGAGTCTAGATGTTTATGGTTCTTTCGTTGGTATCTTCCGGGAGACTAGATTGGGTAACGTCGTTTCAAATCGTCATGGACTTGTTTTGAGCATGTGTGCTTGTCTGGGTTAAGTTAAAAGTACTTACTACTTACTAGGCCAACTGGGTAACTAACTAGGTGAACAAATAAGAATAGAGAAGCAGATCTGAGGATCAGGAGAAAGGGAGAAGAAGAAGAAGAAGAGATGGTAACGTTGTATTGTGTTAGTATCCATTCTTGTTGGGAATTGAATTCTTCAAATTTCAAATTTCTGTCTTTGTTTCATATAATTCCTCTTCCCTATCTCAGTGTGATGCTGTGCTCTTCTCATAAAAGTTGTAAATCTGTTCTTTCTTCAACCATAAAAAATAACCAGGATCATAGTGCGGTTCTCCTCGTCATGATCTACCAGATGATGGTCATCTTTGCCTCACCCTCTCTCCTCTCACAAGCACATGCACAGACATTGTTGGACGAACAATGCAGACATTGACATTCACACAAGACCGCTCTGGTGCTGTTCTAGAGGCAGGTCTCTCTCTCTCTCTCTCTCTCTCTCTCTCTCTCTCTCTCTCTCTCTCTCTCTCTCTCTCTCTCTCTCTCTCTCTCTCTCTCTCTCTTACATCACGTGTTACGTTTTGATTCTGAAAGCTTGGGAAACAAGGCGGGGGGCACTGGGGACCTCATTTGGGATAGAGAGCTGATGGGTGATGCGGACTGCTTTGCGTAGGCATTGGGAATGCCTGCTGGCACCCTTGTTCAGGATGATCTTGTGCTTGAGGATTCTCTGTGTCTTATGCAAAGTGATGACATTGTTGTATTACCAACCAACCATCTGCTGCGGGTATGCAGAGGGAATAGTTAACACAACCATTTTCCTAACTGTATCTGACTGCGATTATGTCTACAGCAGAATGCATCTGACTGCAATCATGTCCAGCGCTCAGTCGAAAAGAACTAGAGGGAGTATGTGCCATTGTGCCCTCACTTGGTATATTATGACCCATGTTTGTTATGCTGTTTATTGATTGTTAAGTAATCATTTATTAAATTTATTTATTTGTTTTTTTTTTCCCTTCCTTTCGCTCCTGTTTCTTCTGCTTTTTTGTGAATGGTTATCGTATGCAGGTAATTGTCGACTTTTCTGCACAATGGTGTGGACCATGCCGCAAGATTGCACCAGAGTTTGCGAACCTGTCTAAGAGCAATCCTAATGTCATATTTGTTAAGATTGACGTGGACGAAGTACAAGTAAGCTTCCGCCTCCTACGTTTCCCCTGTCAGGGCCTGTCTATGAAATTATTATGAAATTAATATGAATGTTATGTAGTATGTACTGAGGATAGAAGATTGATTACGAACGATGTTACCAAAGTGGCCGGGGACCACTTGCCCGGCCTGGCCAAAAATGCCAAAAAAAAACAAAAATAGGATTTATTTAATTTTATTCTTGTATTTTTCTTTTGAATGTTCGATTTGGCAAAGAATTTCGATCCGACCCTGAGGCAAAAGTTGTTCAGTTTATTTTTCTGCACAACATATATATATATATTTCGGATTTTTTGGATATTTTTCTAGGCTACGAGAGTGGCCCGGGTCCACTTGCCCAGCCGGGCCAAATAGATATATATATTTTTAATTAAACTTTTTATTTTAAATTTGGTACAGAATTTCGATGTAACCCCGAGGCAAAAGTTGTTCAGTTTAGTTTTCTGCATAACATAGTTTTTTTTCGGATTTCTTGGATTTTTTTTTTTTTTTTTTTTTTGG